ATATTTAAAATGTCTTTACCTGTGTAAGAGCAAAAAATATTTTTAATATCTGCTTTTGTAGCAATACTGATTGTTCTGAAGAATCTGGTAAAAGCCGTAATATCAACTGATAAATCATAGGAAACAAAAGATTCATTGCTTCATTTAATGGTCCTCTTTCTTCTGCCTTTTTATATCTAAAAAAAAATTAGTAAATGTTCATAATATTTATTATTTAGTATTTTGAAAAATAAAATCATATGTTATTATTTAATATAATAAAAATATCATACTCAAAATTTTTAACAAGTTGATGAAGTGCAAGAAGAACACCTGGCCAACAAGAAGCATCTGAATTTTGTAAATATATTGTGATTTTGTCTACTATTTGCGTCCATCTCCCAGGAAAATCATGTTTTACTATATTATTAACACAAACAGCCAATTGTACTCTGAATCAATAAAAAAAATAATTTCATTATAGAAATGTTGTATTATCTAATTTACAATTGAAAATATGTTTAAAAAAAAAACTTACCTAATAAGTTCTGGTGCGTGTACAAGAGCATCAACAATTGCATCACGAATCATTGCACGATCTTGTTCATGAATAGTAAACTTAACTGACCCATTTTCATTTTCTCTGTCTGCCCAATTTGTTGTAATTAAATTCTTCAAGTATATAACACCTGAATTTATATTAAATTATCATTAATTAATTTTTATATTTTTTTAAAGCAATTACTCTTATTAATTACCAGCTTGTCGTACAGACATTTCTTCTGCAGTCATTAGTACTTGAAGCAATGTTGGTGCAAAACCAATAATTTTGTGAATCTGAAAATATTCTTTATATTATAAATTTAACCATTTTTTTTATATTTATTATTATTAAATTATAATATAAATTTTTATAATTTTATATATAAATTAATATATATTTTTATTAATTATTTTTAATAATTTTTATTAATCTAATAACAATAAGTAATAAACTAAATGATAAGATGGAATTATATATAAAAAAAAAATGTTCTCGATTATAATAAATATTTCAAATATGAACACTATAAAAACTTTGAAATTTATTAGTAATTTGAAATCTGAAAATTTATTAATATTATTAGCAGAAAAGCAAGAAAGAAATTTTACAAATGAAAAAACAACTGATATAATTATAAATTTGATAAAGTTAATAAAAGAATTCAAAATGTTAGTTTTAATAAAGATGATATATATACATATATATATATATATACATTACGTACATACATATTTAATATATATATATATTAATATGTATGATGTATATATACATTGTGTATGTATGATGTGTGTGTGTGTGTGTGTGTGTGTGTGTGTGTGTGTGTGTGTTTTATATATATATATATACACACATAATT